GTGAAGAGGGGGTTAAAGAAGAGCTTATCCTCCTCAGACAAGGCAGTTAGGAACACATGGGCACCACTCTACAGGCCTCATAACACCAGTCCTTCTTGATTCTCCTTCCTAAGTGCATTGGCTTGATGAGAAGTTTATGTGGCAGACTCCACTCTCACTAGCAGATTCCTGGTAGTGAGGGTGGCTCTAAAGCTGCCATAATGTGAGTTGCTTAACAATGGTAAGGGCTACTTTGGAAGTTATTCCTGATTGTGGATATATGCTGAGTAGTGCTCCAGAAACTGAAGCTATGTTAAGTCAACAGAACAGACTTCTATAAATTATTGTGGGAGACCAAAAGGCCAAGTCATTACTTTATGCATATGATTCTTTAATGTAAAAATAAAAAACCAGATACTTTGCTTCTCCAGCATTCATTGATGTTATACCTGTGCATGAAGTGCAGACTCCAGTACTTCATTTTGCAAGACAAAGAATTATGGTGTAAGTACTAGGACAAACTGCTTCTCTGGTCTTGAATTTCATAGCACTGTAGCTGTGAAGTTGTGGACACAGAATCCTTGGTCTGATTTGTTTAGATTATTCAAATAAAACATGAGTAATAGTCACATCTTGCATTGAGACTCTTTTTTTACTTTAACTCTTCTAAAAACTGGACCCACTTCAGGAATTAAACATCTTTTCCTCCATGTGGCTTTTAGGCTGCAGTTATAAAGCTCTTCATCAGCATGTAGTGACTTTGCTCATTTCTTTGACAAAAGGCTGATAATCTGCACTAATGGCTTTGGCTGACTCAAATGTTTCCTTCCCAACTGACTTTGACTGGCATGCTGAGGAATATTAGCAATATGGAAATGAAGGTTGATAAGGGAAGGAGGTGGACAAGCATGCTGGCTGAAATCCTGAATATCTTTACTTTCATTAGAGTTCATTTCTTTCTGAGGTTAGACTGTTTTTGTATTACATTCAAATTTATAAAATCTCTGCTAACAGAAATTTTCAGGTCCCAAACTGTCATTCCTACACTTAGAAGTTCCTCTTTAGACAGATAGCTCTTTGGATTATGTCTTCTTATATATAAAGTTTTTCTTGAGTATGAACTGTCTCTTATTCCTAAAGAGGAAGGTACAAAAAGTATGGGAAAAAAATATTTTCCTGTGGAAATCCTTCACACCCAGTACCTAGAATTATAACCACTTGGCAATTTACCCACTTCATGAGCAAGGAGAGGGACATTTCCAGCTTGGACTGGGTTCTTTGTTTTGGTTTGGGGGTAGTGCTCTCTGGGGTAGTTCAGTTCTGAGCTACTCTTCTACACTGTCTTTTAATCCATATATCAGTATAAGAACATATGCCCTGACACATATAGATGGTGATAAATTCTGTACAGAAGAAATTGCAAATTGTATAAATCTTTAGTTGACAAATAACAAGATAGTATTGAATAAATAGTGATCTAAGATGTATTTACCCATCAATTCAGAAAGATAAATATGGTTGCCTAGCATGTGGACTGTCCTTGAGCAAAGAATTGAAAGTTGAGGCATAGGCTGTGCTATTCATTTAGAAGAACTTAAAATACAATTTGGCAAACCCCCACCCCCCACCTCAAATATAAAAATTAAAAAAAAAAAAAATTCATAATTTCAAATTTTAAAAGGAAAGGTTTTGACTTCTGTGGGCAATTAGAAGTGCTTTGCAGGGAAAAGTGACAAACATGAATGTTAGCAAAGGTTTTGAGTTAAAAAAAAATCTTTCCTGTGCAACAGTTAAAACTTCTGCTTAAGTTTGACACTTGCATTCAACAAATAAGTCCCTTCTGTTTCTCAGCAGGATCTCCATAAGCACAGGTGGGAAGACTGGTTTTGATTTATAGAGATGGCATGATATAAATCCTTTGTCACAATTAGTCAACCTGAATGGAGCTTTTGGATTTTTTGCATGAAAGAGGCCTCCAAAGCATGCACATTTGGTTATTCCAAAACAACAGTCAGAAAAGTCACAATGTGAAATGTTTGCTCCTGTTTAAAAGCCAGATTCTTCCTGGAGGAAGCTTTGTGTTCTTTCACATACATGAGATTCCAGCCGGTTTTTAAGCTTGACTGTCAATTATTGGTAGGTGATTTTGAAGAACAGTCACCTAATAAAGAAAGAAAACATTGAAGAATTCCCACCTGGAAATACCTACCTATCTTAATAAGATAGCATTATATAAAGATCTGAAGCCTTCTGAGATTAATGAGGTCTGTTTACTTTCCATTTCATTCAGAGACCCCTCTACATGTGTTGAATCAAAAGGCTGAGAATTTCTGCATGGGAAACTGAAAAAGAAATTGATAAAATGTGAAAAGTCAGTATTGTGCTGCGTTTGAAGCCTGTCTCTCTCCCCATCTTTGCCAGGAGTTGATCAGAAAGACTGGAAGACAACTGTTCTCTTTCATTAGGGAAAAAATGTAAAATGAAGGAAAGAAAAGCTCTCTGTACCTCTATGGCTCCAGAGACAATTACATAGAGGTACACACAAATATAAAATACGTGTGATGTTACATATTTGTTTGCAGTGGTGCAGTGCTATTGTATAGATGGAGGCATAAACCTGTCAGTTTGTGTTTTATTGCCAGGAGTGCCAGATGCACTGTCCAGGAGCCCAAACATACCAGTCTGTGCCACTAGCCCAAGAGGCCATGTCAGGGCTTTCCTCTGCTCTCACAGATTTCTCATTTGATAGACTCATGTTCCCACACTGCAAGTGCCATGGCCTCCCTCTGTGAGCTTTTAGTTTTTGATAAAGATTGTATTGTGTGTAACAACGTTCATGTTTCTTAAGAGTTCCCGTATTGCCTGTAAGAAACTCCTTAGGTGCTGACCTAAAACAGATGCCGTGAGCACTCTTTTTCCTACCCTTTAAACCTTTTAATGGTTTGTGTATTTTAATTTTACTAGTCACTTAGCTTTCTCATTATATCCTGCTTCTCTCCTAGCTGCTTACAGGGGAGACTTGGAGAGATAACCTTTCCTTTTCCCTCTGTTAAAATGCAAAAAAACAGAAAAGCAAGAAAAAATTTACATGCCATAGTGTGGACACCACTGTGCTTTGCCAGGACCTGTGAACTCTGTTTCAAGTGTTGTTCACACTTGTACAAAAGAGTTTTGCTTAGGCTGCCTGGCTCTGGTTGAGGAGTTGCAGTGATCTATTGTTTTTGGGTGTCACCACTAAAATGGCCATGAACAAGCCTTGATAGGACAACCTGGGACCCAGGAATGTGAATGTATAAAGATCTTTGGACAAAAATAAAATGAAGATAGATTTATCTTCAGTATAAGACAGTTACCAAAAAGAAATTAAATTATATTGTAGGGAGACTGGAAAGCTGGGAGGCCTGTAGCCTAGATTCCTGGCACTATTAAATATTACCCTATATTTGCATGGTTTTTATCACCTCTCTGCAATGTTTTTGTTCAATCATGGAAAATACAATAAAATAAAAAACACATGTTGGGATCTTAAAAAGCATTCCTGTTTTTTTGAGACTCTCAGCTAAAAGTTGCAATGACAACTGGCTGATAAATTTTGACAAGCCATAGCTCAGTCTTTTTGAGTCAGAGACTCCGCAGAAGTTATTTTCCCATCAAAAGAGAGTATTAAACGTACTACAGAAAAGGAGAACAAAACAAAGCCTGTAGACACACTCAAATCCAACAGGCCATGAGAATTTTGCTTTGCCTCAATGATACTTTCTGAGACTGTGGGCAGCAGATTGTGTTTGGATTCTCAAGGAAACAGTCAGGCCATTATTGTTGTTGTTTAATTTTTGGTGGTTGAGGGTTTTTTCCCCCTCCTAGTCAAAGTATTAAAAAAAATAAAAGGGGAGGGGGAAAGAAGTTGATTTCTTCAACAAGCAGCTGCAATGACAGATGGCTGATGAATGCACTACCAGCAGTTCCAATGGAACTCGACTCCGTGGGAGTCAGGGCACTGCGCACCTTCCAAAGGGCGCCACGGTAGTCGCTTGGGAAGGGGAGTGAGAGTCGGAATTTCTAACCATGGTGAAAATGTACTGAAGGAAGAGAACATGATGACAAGGGGTGAGAAAGGGAAGGGAGTGATTGAGATCCATCCAGCTGAGTCTTTATCCCCAAGGATGAATTAAGATGAAATAGGGGCCCGGAGCCATAAAAACTTCAGGAGTACTTTAAAAATCATGATCCTCTGCTGAAACGTACCATCTCAGCCACACACTTTGCTTTAGTCTTTGTTGATCTTTCTCCCTTAGTCCCCAAATAGACTCCTCCTCTCTCTATTCTTTCTATACACTTTTTTCCTCTCTTCCTTGTTCCTTCTTTTCCCATAGCTATCCATTCCCACCTCATGACTCTGTGTGAACAAAACAGATAGGCTCTTGCTCTTCTCAAAGCTGCTTCCTGATGCTTGCCAGATGTCCCCCATGAATCTTTGTTAGTAGCCAGGGTCTGGCAATCCATGATCAGACCTGCTGGGTGATCTGTGATGCAGTGTCCTCCCTTGTAGTGCTCTGACTTGAAGAAATTATTTGCTCTGGCCAGTTATCACCTCTTTGTCCAAAGGTGCCCATTTAAATGGGTAGCCAGCAAAATTTATGACCTTTATTGGGTGTCCTGTGCCATGTGTGAAAATGTGTCCTCCTACTGTCTTTGAGTTTCAGTACACTGTGGAGGCAGAAATGACAAGGAAGGAACACAAACCCTCTCTGCAAGGAATTTTGAGACAAAAGTGAGGAGTCAGTTTTCTGCATCATGCAGAATGTCATAACCCTCATAACCCCCAACCTCTCACAGTCCCCAAGACGGTGCAGTTCCCCCTTTCTCCACTTCCCTGTATGAGGTGAGAAGAGAACTGGTGCCAGCTGGAAAAGTAGTAGGGGTTTGCAACAGGGCAGTGAGTAAACAAGGAACAAAACTCCTCTAGCAGTAAATGTACTGTGTAAACATAAACAATAGCAACAAGCAAGACACGTATTCCAAATCCATCTCCAGTGAGAATCAATTATGTTATATCTGATGAATCAGGGGAGGGAGTTGGTGAGAGAGAATGGGGGCCTATTATTATTTTCAAGTCAAGTCAACCAGCCAAGTCTGCAAACAAAAGCATTTTCTGTCTTTTTCTCTCTGTCTTGTTGATGGCCTCCCCTTGTCTCTCTTCCTTGGCATATTTCCTGCAGTTTCCCCACCCAGCAGTAGTTATATACATCTGAATAACACTGCAGTTCAAACACCAAAAGAGTTGTTTTCCTATGGTTTCTAAATGCCTTTTCTATTTTCTTGTATTTGCAATCCTGGCATAAGCAGTGCTTGTCAAGGGGTGTTACATCAGAAAACTCAAGCATGAGACTATCTACATGTGTGAGTGTGTTCATATGTACATGAACACATGTGACCAAGAGGGCAAAAAAATACTGCTTCAGATTATTAATGAAATAGTGATAGGAACTTTTTTTATACCTGTGGCTGTAAAAAGAAAGTAGAAGTTTTATTCTTGTATCTGCACATCACTAACTAGTACTAACACACACACACAGAGGTTTTCTTCTGTATCCCCAAAAATCACAAAATGGGAAACGAAAAGGGAAGGAGGAGAAAGGGAGAATTGCTGGAAATGATTTTCTCTTAGGGTGTTCTCTAATAATAAGAAAGGAGACCTACTTTGAACTCTTGATTCTTTGCCAGAGAACAAAAACCTTACAGCATTTTGCTACCTTTAATTGTATTACTCTTCTAGTAATCAATAAAGATAAAAAAAAGATCATTCTATGTACAATATGAAATCACAGTGTCTGACTATGTGGAGATAGATTCCACTTATCTGTCTCTAGGGGTAGCTTCTCTTGTAGGAGAAAACTCAATTTTTATTTGGATTTTAAAAATGTTTCAAATTATTCAGTCAATGCTACATGCATATTAAAAGATTTATTACCAAATATTCTCATCCTGATGTACTGGATCTATGCACCCAATTCCCACTAATGTTAATGGAACCTCATCTGTAAATCCCTGCACATCAAAGCCAGACAGTACCCATAAGTATTGCAAATACATAGGTAGCTGGATAAATAGCATAAAGATTAACCACCTCTGGCATTGCTTTTTTTTAATTTTTTTTTTTATTTCTTTGTGTAAACGTTGGTCTTATCTTTCTAAGGACTCGAGATGTAAGAAACTAAATGCATCCGGGCCAACATCCCCCACACTTCAGCATGGGTGTTGAAGGGAGATACCTGACTGCTGAATGGTGGCACCCACTCTAATTGAAGGGAAGAGGGAGAAAGGTGCCTCCACAGGGTGACTCAGATTTTAGGTGGGCTGAGTCATCCCCACAGGTGCCTGTTTCTCTCCACTGACTGTTAACTGGGGGTGTATAAAGAGATGGTAATTTGAGCACCTGTAGCAAGATAGGTCACACCAGGCCTTAAAGTATTAAACCCCCATTCCAGTCCTCTGGCATGAGAGCCTGAGCTCCTGCTTAGGAAATAGGCAGCTCTCTCCATGTTGGGGTGCCTAACAGCCCCTTGTGTTAAAGGCATAAAGAGATATGGAGAAAGGCCAACCATCCCTTCTCTCTCATTCCCACCAATATTAAAAACCACACATTCATATATTAAAGCCAGGAATTTCAAACACTGATTCCTAGCATTTAAACCTTCTATCCCTAGATGAAATTCATAAGAAGCAGCTTGGATTTCACTGCTCCAGAACATGAGTTTGGGTTAATTATCTAACCTTAGGAATCTATGTTTTGTAACTTTTGGATCCTGTTTTAGAATTAAGAGAAAACAAGTGTATTGTTATTGTTAATAATATTATTAATAGCTTTATTAATTTAAATGTCAAAATATATGCCAATATTAACTGTAATTAAAGTAAATTAAGTATACTAACAACAGTTATATACAACTGCACATATTATGCTGGAATTCAAAGTAAACAAATATATGTTTTAAAGTGAAAAAATTAGGTAGAAAAAATATTAATCATGGGGCCAATAACTATATTAATTGTCAGAAGAGAATAGAGCTGCAATAAAATTGAAAGGAGCATGTACAGTGAAAGATGAGTGGGATGATTAGAGCACAGACAGGCTAATAGATGTTAACTAATAATACTTTTCTGAAACTTCCATTTCTTATTCGTAGATTCACAAGGAAGCATCATTAGCCCCATTAAGCAGAGGAAGGAGGAAGAGGCATAGAGTAATGAAGTACAGTGGCCAGCATCACCCAAGGGTACAGCTGCACAAACAAATTAAATTAGAGGATATATTAACGGAGTCAGGTGCTCTGCTCTAACTTCCTATTTGTCTGCTCTTGACCTGCAGAAAATGAAACTCGTCTTACCTCAGGTCTAATCAAAAGACTAAGCCTCTTCTCCGGCTGCAGGAAGGAAAAAGTGAGTACCTGATACCTTTAAACCACACTGGCTAACTTGCTCTAACACCACCTCCATCAAAAACCTGGCTAGTCTGTGAGATGGCAGTGATAATTTTGTGAGGTTCTGCTAACATTGGGATGAGCGTGGTTTATAAATGGAAAGGGTTGACGGGAAAGGAGGGTTCTGGGGGTGAGATACATCATGTAGTTCAGCACAGAAAAGTCAAAATCTGTTGCAGATCTGCAATGTGACAGTAGGGTTCCAGGAAAAGCAGGTGGTGTGGGAACACAGATCCCCATTAGGGCAGGGCTCAAAGAGAAGGGGATCAGTCATAGCCAGGGCCTTTATTACTTAAAGCTTTAAAATCTAAAAGGGCCAACTTTAAAATTGACCTGCCACTTCAGAGGCTGGCAGCAGTGCAGAATGCAGTGCGGTGTGATGTGTTCCTGCTGGCTCACAGGGCTGAGCACACGTGCTGCCGTGCTTGGAGCCTGGCTCTAAGCTCCACTAGGAGGGTATTGCAATAATTGAGCTTGCTGGTGACAAGGGCTGCGCTGCTATATTTGTGATAGGCTTGGGATAAACTGAGCATGCAGCCGGTGCGTGTAGCAGAACTGGAGGAGGGGGAAAAAGAACCTCTCTGGCACCCCGGCTGGAAACCTGGCTTCAACTTAAGCAATGGCAAAACTCCATTAACTTCAGCTTGAGCCTGTGTTTACCAGGTATTTTCAAAGAGCACAGTGTCCTAACACAGGACCAGCACACACCTGGCCCTTGAACTTTGAAACATAATTCTTCAAAGTGCAGGGCCACATAGCAGAAATAGCTCCAACTAGTGTCATCACCCAACACATGCTTTTACCAACTCAAAGAATGTATCCATCTGCAGAAAATCCCTCTCCTTCTATATGGCTGAAATAGGAATCAGGAGAATGATGGCATAGGATTCTATGAAAAATGTATTGAGATATTCCGTCTTTATTTTATTGATCATCTGTTTTGATCTGTCCCAATTTACTGCCTTTCTCACACTGTGAAATCTGGGAGAAGATCTAGAACGGACTGCATTTTCCCACATGCATTTTCCAGTGGCTCATTCTCATTTTGAACACCTCTTCATCTGAAATTCCAAATCCTTTGTCCTAGTCACAGGTAATAACATGAAGTTTGAGTCACAGAAATCCTCACTTTTTAGTGCCCTCCTGTGAGTCTCACATTCTTCCATGTTCCACATCAGGTAAAGGCCTAAGCTTTCATTTGACTGTGGAACCTGGACAGGCACTGTCTTTCCTGGCCCATTTCCTCTCCCTGATCCCCTTGACTTGGTTTCAGTTGTTTTCTCTTGGGGGCTTGATGCATTAATACATTTAGGGAAATCCAAAGGGTTTTGGTTGCTCAGAGGAAAGCAGTTCAAGGGTCATTCCAGGGCAACACTAGCCTGAAGGAGCTGCCTAGGCAGTTCCTCCCCACTAACGTCTCAATGGCCTCCTGGATTTTCTCTTTCAGTGGGGTCTCTGTAAGTCAGTGTGGGTGTCAGGCATTTGCAGAGCCCCATCAAAGTGTTGGAGACCTGTTATGCTCTTTGCCAGTGCCCACTGTACTCCTGAGAAATCCTGGCAGAATTCTCAGCTAACAGATTAGCATTAGGTCAGGAAACCAGGGACCCATGTATCTCTTGTGGCTTAAGCTAGGGACTCATGGGCTTTGCTCTTGCTAAGCTTAGGTGGTAGTGAGCTAGGGATTTGAAGATCAAAATTGAGTGTTAGACAGGATTTAGGTAGGCAAGTCGTCTCTGGATTGAGCCCTTTGTCTAACCTTTTTGGCTAACAACATTTATTACTCAAGAATAGGCATCTTGAAATTCTGTGGTCTGCAGTGTCAGCCACAAATTAATGATAGTAAATGCATGAAAATAAATTATCCATAATTTAGTATATTATGTAAATAATCTTGTGTGTATATGTGTGTGTTTGTGCACCTTGAGCAACGTGAATGCTTTTTGCAAAAATAGAAAAGCATTTTTTTTTTAAATTAATATATTATACTCTATGTGGAGTCTTCAGTCATAACAGGAAATCATGCATTTTCTGCAGAAAGATTTTATTTTAAAAAGCAGAGTGCATCTCATTGACCTACATTCAGCTTCCCCAGCATACACTGTACCTGCAGAACTTTGCTGCAGAGATACATTGTAGATACAGATCAAAGGGAAATGCTAGTGTCAGAATTGTCTAAATGTCCCTTTTTGGGCCTGAAATCCTAGATCATTGCCATGCATTTGCACTGACTTTGTAACTTTAATCAACCTGTAAACTGTTCCTTGGACTGCTGTCTTTAAAAGCCAGGTAGGCTGTTCCTGGGTATAATGAATGTCTGTATCTATAGAGCAGACAAATGAAGATCTCTGCTGCCTCAGAATGAAAATACCTATATTCAAAGAGCTATTTAGAATACAGTGTATAAAAGTAGCAAAATAAAGTTAGCATCTGTGTTAAAAGAACTGCAATCCAAACAAAGCTAGATTCATCCTGTTCAACAAATACCCTAATTGCTTTGTAGAACATTTGTTCCCCTCTTTAGAAAAGCCCATGGGGTGCTGAACATCCGCTGTCAGGGTGCTGAGTTTTAGTACATGCACATCTGCCTGTTCTGACTTAGCCTGAGACCTGCCAACTCATTTCTCACACACCCACTGCAATGGACCTGGATTCACAATTGTGTCTGTGTGTGTAGGGGGAGCTGCAGGGTGGGAGAAGGGGTTAGCACTGACCACTGCCCTGCTGAGCTTTCAGGCACCATTCTGCCTGGCAAGAGTCACACGGGCACCGTCCACCTCTCTTATGCAGTGCCTAGCTGGGTGTTTAAAAAACATGAAGTTCACAAAGGGAAAATGCAAAGAGATGAAAGAGCCTTTGGAAAATAGGAAGTGTGTAAAACACAAGCTATCTACAGACTCACTGTCTGTCTCTCTGTTGTGCAATCAGGTAGCTGTAGACTATAGCTTTTATATTTGTTTGTGGTGCAAACACTCTATAAATGGGTATTCTCTAAAAGATTGTCTTTTACTACTAGACAACTTCAATAATTTGGACTGTGGTGGTGTTTTCTATTATTATATACTAAAACTACTAAAGAAACAAGACGGCCAATAAAATGTCTATTAATAAAAAGTGTTCACTGAAATGGAACATATTGTCATGTAGTCTCTTTGTAAATAGTTTTGGTTGGTTTGTGTTGGTTTGGTTTTGATTTGATGAGGTTTTTTTTCTTTGTTTGTTTTTTAAATTTATTTTCAAAAAATTAGAATGGTATATTAAAAAGTAGTTACAAAATATCTTCTTACTCCAAAAGTTAATAATTCAGCTTTTATAAAGATTGTTTAAACATGGAATATTTAGGGGAAGTGTATACTATATAGTGTATATATGTAGGTCACATAAAAGTATAATTGTGAAATGACTCTGTATTACAAAATATTACCATTTCCAATGAGCTGTATTTGAGACAAAGTCTGCACAACTGTGAGCTTCTGGAGTGAAAAAAGAATGGCTCTGGAAGTATCTTGCAGCTTACTCTTAGAACAAATTCTGTTACTTCAGTCTGTCCTTCCATTCTCATAGGCTTAGAACATTTCCAAGGTCTTTCATTAACCCTCAATTCCTCCCCAGCAATATCTTTACTTTTTGTGCTACTTGTGTATTACATGTTTAAGTGAAATGGCATTGATAGATCTCTTTCTACATTGGGTACTACAAATTTCTCCTCCTTGCCCCTAAGTGCCAGTTCAAGGCATCCTGAATTTCTCCTGTCTTCCTGATGTCTAGTCACAAAACAGATTTTAATCACATGAATGCAGTTTTCATGTAACCTAACCATCAGCCTCTTTCTTGAAGGCAAGTAGGAAACTTCTGCTGGACCACGACACCTTTCACCTCTCCTTGTGCCACATTGGCTAGAGACCATAGCTGCTTCACACTTTTATGACCTTTATACAGGCACTTATTTTTATCTGATATGAAGGCTAGATGGTAGGATCTGTGCTAGCTCAACCAGTGGTAAACCAACTCACTTTTTGGACACAGGTCACCCAAGGAACCTGAATTTTCTTTGGTGAGCGTAAAGAAAATGCTCCATCAGTGGATAACTGTATGTATTTGATTTGTACTGAATAAGCCTAAAATCAGACACTGAAAATTTGTTTTATGTTAAAAAGGGAGTGGGAAGGACATGGTTCCAGAAAATAGGTGAGTGGGAAGAGAATAAGTACTAACAAGGTTATTTTTGGGAAGTACTTAAGGAAGAAAAACTGTGTAAAGAGAGCTAGGGAAGGATTTTTTCAAAGAGAGAGCCAAGTCAGAAAGGGAATATTGTATCTTGAAAAAGACCTAAAGGCTCCCAAAGTGAACACATTTATTACCTGTTATGACCATCCTCAAGCACTGGGAAACATGACAATGAGAAATTAGGCTACATGATTGTTCAGACCACCTTAATGTCAGGTAAAATCCTTCAACTGGAGTCTTATCTAGAAGGGAGTTTGAGTCTGTAGAGGCCAGATCTCCACTATGAATCTAATAAATTTTTGCCTCTTGTCTGCAGATTGTGTTGCAGTAATTTGTATTTATTTCATCATCAGATGTTTTACAAATCTTGCTTTAGGCCACTGACTAACTAAAGGAAAATGGCCTTTCCAAAGATGGTTGAAGGCAGGAGAATATACAAAGTGATTTGAAGGAAACATGGATGACATAGAGAAGAAGAATTTAGCTGCTAGAGTCAAATTTTCTTGTTTTGGTGTATTTTGCAAGTGATATAGTTTGAGAATTAGAGCACTGTCAATATGTGCTATAAAACTGCATGTCCTTTAAGAGGATAATGCTCCACTAGACCTTTTGCCACAAATTACTCTATATAATTGGACCTAAGATCACAAAGAGTGCACATTTACAAGATAAATTGAAAATTAATGAACAAATAATATAGTAATTACCAAATCTTTATTATTTGAAGAATATACACACTATGGGGTCTATTTCTTCCTCAATGAGCATGTGTAACCCCCATTAATTTTAATGGGAGTTAAGCGTGCACATCAAAGGAAGAATTAACTCATGATTTTAAAACTGACTACTAAGATTAAGACCTGCACTTTTGGCTTTGAGTTGAAAATGTGGCATATCTTTTGATATTTATCTCTTTTTAATTGTGTATTTGTAGCTGAACCAATTTGCAAATCATTGTTATCCCTATCAGTACAAGGCAAAGATAAATTGCATTATATACCCTACTTCTTGGACTCCTTGATGTTCTTTTCTGATTAAATTGAACTGTACCAGCAGTATCATAATTAATAATCTATGCTGATCAAGTTGGCAGTGCTGAGGCTGTTTGGTATATGATGGCAATGAAAAATTATTGAAGCAAGGTGTGTCATTTGTTTTTTTCACTAATGTGAGAAATTTACAATTAATAATACTGAGTCATGGAGATTTTCAGATAATGTGAACCCTGCAGTTTAGGTCTGGACAATGTAAAAACCATTCAGTTTAAAAAGATCTCTGAGGCAATTCATGAACTATGATGTTAAGCATATATAAAAAGGATTTTACTGCTTAGAAAGAGATTATAACATTCTCAGATGAAACTTTCAGTCCCAAATGAATTAGTGCCAGTTGTTCTTTCTACCTCTCATCTCAGGGAAATGATATTTTCTTGTACACTTCTATGGTTTTCCATTAATTAATATTAGTGAAATGGCTTCTGCAATTGTGCATAGCCTTTTTTATATCAATCCAGGCATTGTTCTCCATCTTAGAGTGGGAATTAAGAATATTTTAGTTTGGATTTATTTTTATTTAAACATGGATTATAATGTATACAGATAAAGGACTTCTAATTTATTGAAAAGAGAAATTCAAAGTCTTTGTTTTTTCAAATGAATTATCTAGTTCTATTTTTGCAAAAAATTAACAAAAGAAGAAGGGGAAAAATAAATTTTAAAATTCTTTTTATGCGGGTAGTAGTTCTTGTTATATTTTAAAAAATTACTCTAGCAAGAGATTGTAATATATATGTCTCATATTCTGCCTGTTTCTCCTTGTACTATTACAAAGTAGAAATGTTTTCCATTCATTTGGCTGTGTGAATGTACAACTAAAGGTGTGCACTCGCAAAAATATTTATCCACAAAGTTATGGCCACTGAATAGCCCTTTTAAATGTCTGTTTATTTTATTCATCTGTTCATTTAATTTTTAATATTTCAAACTGTTGCAGCTTGCAGCTGCCATTTGCACTGCCTCAGTTTTGTCCCATTTCAAATGGGAGAATGAGATTAGGGGAAGGAAGCCCTAGGGCTCAATACTGGAAATCAGTCAAAATAATTTAAATCCTATCAACTTTATTTTCTCAACAGTAACTAATTATAGAAGGTTCCTCCACATTTTTGTGCACACTGTAAGATCCCAAATGGACAATATTTGCAAAACCTTCAAACTGAAATGGGGAACTCAGTGTCATTAGTCAGTTATTATAATGCTAAGCCAGGTCTTGCTGTCCTCTCATTACAGAAGTTACATTTGAGATGAGGGACCTTCACTGTTTTGCCGCATCTGTGAATCAGAGTATGAGAATTTAGAATCTGATCAAACAGAGAGTGTTCTGAATGACATCTGTAGCAACTTTTGAATAGTGAGTAATGTGAAAAAGGTTCAGCAAGGAGACTATTTTCTTGAGAGAAAAAAAAAAAATTATGAACTATCAAAATGAGGGTTAGATGAAACAACTTGAAGAAGAAGATCATGAAAGGATATCCAGAGAAACTGAAGTATATTAATAATTTTAAAACAGGTGCTTGAAGATGTGTAGTAGTTGTGCTTGTATATTCAGTCAAGATAAAGTTTCAGAAGGGAAGCACTAAACCTCTGGAAGGTCACTCAGCTAATTAAGGGGATGGAGCTAAAAATGAAGAAATGTTAATTGAGCTTTTTTGTTAAACTTTCAGAAGAAGAAAAGGCTAAAGAGGGAGTCCAGCTAGAGCGCACATGCAGCTGAGATGCAACTAATGGGAAGACAGAGAAGACAAAGTGAGTTTTTTTCTCAGAGACTTACAGCAAAAGGATTAGAGACTTAAGAGTAAGGGGAAACTCAGCTGAATATATATTTCACAAGAAAAGTGTTTAATCACTGGCACTGTATCTAAGAGAGGGTATCTATACAGGTTTCCACTTATTAAATAAATCTGCATTTCTACAAAAATCTTCCAGATGAAGACATTTTTTTTTAAATATTCAAAAAAGAATCTTGTGAATTAACATCCAACTTTGTGCACTGGTGAAGCCATATGTTGTAAGTGCATTAAGTGCACTGGTGAAAATGTTACCCATGAAATCTATGATCTTGGGAATACAGAAAATTGTATATAAAAGCAAGAAAATATAACTTAGAAAGACCACCTCAAAAATACTGTATTTTACTTAGTTGACTTCTACATGATTGTTAATGCAAAATTAACAATCGTTAATAGTACCTTTCAATGAAGTTTAGAGTATTATTAAAGTTATTTTTTTCACCTAAATGTGGTTAGTATTTAGTAAGAATAGCTTTAAAATCGTAGTGATTGTGAAAAGAAAAGAGTGTGTTGTATTGGAAAGCAGGAGTTTCTTTGCCGTGTTTTTCATTGGCTCACAATTCAAATAACAATTTGCTGAGAGCAGTATCCAGTATACCCATATCTGGTATTTTTTATTTGGAGATATGGATGAATTAATACCCAAAATAGCCAAATGGAATATTTGCTTCCAAAAAATCTTAGAGTCGTTTTGTAATACTTACAGTTCTGCCTGTCTCTGAGTTGAAAGGATTAAATGCATTTTTTAATGGAAAAAAAGAGCCCCAAAATTCATTTGAATTTCCAAACTGGGTCCCTCTCGTCTTCAGATAATGACCTGAGTTTCTAAAGAAAAGCCATCAAAGCTTCAAAACACCAATCCTAAGATCTTTCCCATCAAATGGCTTGATTTAGTGCCACTGTAATTATTTGGCTCTTTGCCATTGTCTTCATTAGGCTCACTATCATGACCCCACAAGTTTTTACCATCAGCAGGAGAAAAAGATACTTCGGAAACCCTCAGCTTTTTTCAGCTGTGCTGTGGTTTATTCACAGCACCATCTTTCTCTTTTTCCAAGCAGTTTGCATTTTGGGATCTGACACAACAAGTGTGCCATAGCAAGGGTACACTACACAAATATCACGGAAAGCACAGCAAGAAAAGCTTTATATAAACTTCCCCTGCTTCTCTGAGCTCGTCAGCTCTTTATTAATGACACTGTCAAAGTTTGTATTGTGCTCACATTGGAAGGGGAAGCTTCATCCTCACAAAACCAATAAAAGTTGATTACATACATATGAAATCTATGGATCATGGGCAGGATTCTTGGATCCTGTACAAAGGAAGTGTCATGTTTCATCTTTTGTAGGGGAATGTATGGGAATGCATATGTGAAGCCACAGAACTCCATGTAGTCCCTTTCAGTAAAGATCATACAAACAGAACCAAATTTTCTTTAGAGCACAACTATAGGTTTATTACTACATGGGAAAAAAAAGAAATCCCTTTTTTTCTTCCTTCTCCAGTGCCACCTGAAGGCTGTCAAGAGAAAATAATGATTTTGATCAAGGGACAAAACACAGTAGATAGTCCTAGTTAATAATAATATTGGAATAAATTACATTAGTCAAAGCAATCTGAAATGGCATTTTGAGAGGAGAGAGATGATGCCAGACCTGTGACTGAAAGGCCAAATATTCTAATGGGACCTGTTAACCATCAAAAAGTCAGATTTTCAAAGGCAGATATTAATCTAGATTTTGTAGAAAATACAGGAAATGTGATTCACGGTAGCAAAAGTGTAAGAAACAATATTATTTTCTTTTGAAATATGTAGTTCATTTGAAACATAAAGCTTTGTGAAAGAAGATGAATATACTAGCATGTAGGTTTGCATGAAAATAAAAGTGTGGAAATCCCAATAAATCACAGTGTTCTTAAACCAAAGCATTTCTGTTTGTTAATTTCAAAGTGGCATTTCAGAGAAGATTTTTTATTTTCTCTGCCATAATCCATCACATAATTATAATATCAAAATATAAAGTAACTTATTTGACCAAGCTGACATAGTTTGTTCATAGTTTTTGAAGTCTGCAAGATTTTGCATTTTGAATGATATCCAGATTTTCAGAATCTTTCCCAGGAAAGAAATTCCATTATTTTTGTATTTAAAATTCTCTACTTAAACCATTTCTGGCTGACTAAGAAGATGCAAGCCTTTTGAACGTATTCAAATGCTGTGTTCCAGAATATTTCCTAAGTAGACTTCCTTGGCAAATACATTTTTATTACTACAGTAGCTCAGATAATCTCTGTGACATAACATTTTCCCATGTATTCCCATCACCTTCATCCAACTCCTTTTTTAAAATGAAGCTAACTCCAAAGGTAGCTGATGAACCCCAGTGAAAGAAGAAAGCAGCACCATAGAGTAGGTTTAAAATGTGAAGTCAAACAAAATTGCCTTTCATAAGGATAGGACAGGATTTGGCATAGGCAATATGTAATCACCAAAGCCCTAATGTGAATCAGACCCCAGAGGTTAAAGGAAAACACCTGACATTATGATATGTGTGATGAAATATTCTTCACATAATCATGCATTTCAGAAATCTAGTCAGCTTGATTGTTACATTACCTAAATTGAAGATAAAAGATGAAATATATATTGTATTATTATAGGTCTGGTAAATTACTATAGGGCCACCTTACCTTAATTGAGTCTGATGGTATGGGAATTTCCCCCCGTTAACTGGATGGCAAGAGGCACCTGGTCTTTAAGCAGTCAGACCATTGGATTGATGGCAGACTGCGTGCAGGAAGAGGACAAAGACTCCTTTGCCCTGATGTTGAGGTTACTGGAAATGAAGTGACACGTGTTCAGTAGCTCCAATCTATCTCCAGGAGCTGCAGCACTCCCCTCCAGGATCATCCAAGACACTTAAGATATTTAGATTCTCTTCTGGTGGAATGTATGGAAATTACTCCAATATCAAGACTGTGGAAAGCCATGGACAAAACCCAGGCTTTTAATACTGTAGAGGGAGAGTACCTGGGCACTTTTTACACAATTGTAAGCTGCATATGCTACCCTCAACCTCCATACCTTAAAATTAAGTATTCTCTCTTACTCAGTACTATACAAATAAATATACCTTTTGTGTGAATCCAAGTTCTCAAATGCAAAACCAGGTCATATGTCTAAGTGCCCAAATGGACATTTGGGCATGTTGAAGGAGTTTTACACCAATCTGGAAGCAAATTGTGAAGCAGAAAGTCTGTACTGCTCCCGGGGGGATGAAAATCATCACGTAGAGACATACATATCCTTGTTTGAAAAAGAAACCATGAGAAACTTTAGTCTGTAGTTTGTAGAAATTTGGTAATACTACCAAAATACACTGACTCTGCTAGTCAGAGTTATTTATAGCAAATGGCCTTTCCTTGGAATACTTTTCCCTTTCTTAAAAAGGTACCATTTTGAAGTTCAGGCCATCAAAGTAAAAAGTTCAAACATCACTACAAAATACGTTTGATAATAAAATATTAAACATTCAGTAATAAAGGAACAGAAATGATTGTATAACTCTTTAGGTTAAACATGACCCACTTAAATAAATAGCTGGAACTTAAAAAGACAGTCTGTAAAATCAGTGTATTTATTCCCAGTGCTCTGAATGACATATGTTTAAATTGATCTCACAATCGACTCATATCTGCTTCAGCACAGTCATCTGATACCTATTTAAATGAATCTCATCTAAGAGGTGCAAGATCACTCCTGGGTGACAATTCCATGGCACAGTGGGATGTATCCTAGTACAGCTGAACTCAGGGACAAATTCTTGCTGATCCTGATTTAAATGGGAATAGAAATTTGTTGTCTTCCTAAAATAAGAAAGATCAACCTTTGAAAGAGGAAGGAATCTGTTGAGATCTACATGATCCCTGATTTCAAATAAAATCCTTGGTTTTCAGGATCCCTTCTAAATAAGATCTGATATTAGACTAGGGGAGTATGTGGACAGTAATCCCAAGTAATTTTTTCAAGGTAGAAAGAATGAGGGAAAGAGATAAACAATGAGGGAGCAGAGGGAATTTTGACTTAATTGTATATTTAAAATATAATTAAAATACATTAAAAGATGATCAAATAATTCCATATGTGTAAATACAAAGTATCAAGCAAGCTGTATATATTGGCCCTGTTTCAAGGGCACATTCCTGTTCATTAATGTGCATAAGCTTCTGCTTAAGTGCTATTTCTTAGAGGGAATGGTCTTAAGTTCTTATTTAAGTGTTCTCTTGAAACAGGGCCAACATACAACTCAGACACTCTGCCTTTGCTCACTACAGTCACCTATTCTGTCTTGATTCCAGTACAACAAAGTCTTCCAGGTAGAAACCATGACTCTACATTTATTGATAGAGTACAGTTTTGCCAGTTCCAAGTCCTAAACGGGGTTTTCTGGATTTTCTGGTGTTTCTTAGCTGAGCTGCTAATAGTGGTAATACAAATAACAGTTAATAAATCAATCTGTTTCTTCCAGGAATTTTGCTAGGAGGCATTAACCCCTTCTCACCATCTCCCAGGCCACACCCCTGCACTCTTTACAATGAGTGCAGCATATTTTTTATTTCTTCAACTGGCATTTGCAATCTGTCCTGACATAATTTACACATTTACACATTTTACAGAGCAAAGCACAGTCATGCAATTTAATTCCAAAAAACATAAGCATAGGAGACTCGGCACACTCGATTAGCAAAGCATATGATCGAGTTTTGCCAGTATGATATCAAAGGCACACGTTTGATTTGAATTTGTGTCAAAATGTACCTGCTGCTCTTCATTTCAAAACAGACATGTGCTGATGTGTTAGCCCATATTCACACACAGGGGGCTTTTTATATGCTGCAAACTGCACGTGTAGACCAGTGTCCTTTACTAATGCACTTTCTTTCCCTTCCTTTTCTCTTATCTTAAGGCAGCTGGTCTTCACATCCTTAGGGAGAGGGAAGACCTGTCACCACCTGAGAGACAGAGCAGAGGGAAGCAAGAAATCACTATTCAACCTAATGAAATTAAGTTCTGACCCAGATAAAGTAATCTGGGTTCTTCCACTGATCATTGCCTTATTGAGCCACCATTCCAGTTCTATTATTTCTTTTAGATAGGGATTTAATGCTCATGAATGGAAGGTGAATCTTTGAAAATGAAAGGTGATCAGTGCAGTAAAAGACAAATCAATACAGAATCAAAGTGCTCTACTTATCCACAGGGCAAACTAAATTGGAAGGAAATGTCTTCAAGACCCTCCCAAGCAGTTGTACTAATAGAAGTGATGATTAAATTTCCATCCTATTACATTTGGACTCAAAAAAATTTCCATTATTAAACACTAGAAAAGGAATTGGCAGCTACCTGGGCATTTTGTTGTTCACTTTCCTTTAGCTTTGTTTAAAGGAAGATTATTTGATAGAGTTTTGTGTATTTTTGATTAATAAAGATTGATAGCCGTAAAGAATGATCTTAGAAGGACCAGAACAGAATTTCTCCTGCAATTTGTTTAAAGTTAAGTTTTTAGAAATGCAGGGAATTAGGCATTTTTCTTGATCTCTAGTTCATATAATTATAAATTAGTATATTTTGAATAATAGTTTATTGAGTAGATGTGAAAAGGTTTTTTTTTAACCTCTAAATATGATTAATATTGGAGGCTGCAGATAACATGATAGCAAGAGAAGAGCTCATGTTCACAGATAAAATATTTTGCAGTCTCATGGAAATTGCAAAAAATGAAAATGGCCAGGAACTTTCTGTGCTAATCTGGGACTGACATTTGGGGGTGTTTGTGTCAAGAGATTTTAGGTTTGGGTCATTCTCAGCAGTAGATGAAACAATAAAGGATTCACTTTCTTTGATCCTCCAGCAAACCCTGATTGGCTGGAAGCAGGGAGAGACAGTTAACTTCACAAAGTCAATAAATGTGGCCATCTGGGAGAATGCAAATTTAGACAAATGTGATATATGTGGGATGACACTTTTTCCTTAGAACATGCCACACCATAAAAGCATTAAAAATACATTCGTATGACCCAGAGCATTTGATTAAAGCCTTTAATATGCAATAAATTCAGCCCCAAGCAAACTAAATGGGACAACACGTACAAATTCCAGATTCAGATTCATTCAGGTTCAGTTTTCTGCCTCCTCAGCTCAGAAACTCTTCAGGCATTTCTTTCTGTGTTTCTTTTCAATTAATCTGAGAGGAATCTGTATAAAAATTGTGCCAAAGCTCCTTCTTTATGTGGAAACCTGTTTTTCATCTTTCACCTCTTTACATTTCATCCTTTTGAGCCACTGGCTTGAGCAAAAGTTTAGTATCTTTGCACATGAGTAACTTCTCCTGGGAAGGACTCCCAGTATTTCTAAAATGAGTAAACTGACCTGATCAGGACTTGATCCCCAGAGCTACTGGTAAGAATATTTCATGTCCAACAGCATGTCCTTCCCCAGCTGCAGGAACATCACTGGGGCTCAGATAGTTCTCAGGTAGGAATACATCAAAAAGTAGTCACTGTTCTTGCCCAAGTAGGATCACATGCCATGCTACTAACCCCTAGGTTGCTGCCTGCAAAGCAATATTTATCTATCAGTGTGTGTCTAGATTGTCAGATTATTCACAGACTGTTTTGGCATGATATAAAATGCAACATTTTCATAGACTGGACTGTGTCTTGAACATGTTCACTCCATCCAGAGACCTTACTAGAAGTCCACTTTAAAGCAGTGAGTGAACTAACCTGATCTGAAGCAGTGACTATCCTTTTTTTGGTGGCTGAATACCTGCATTGTCTATTCCATGGCAGAAAAATGGGTAAAATCAGGGATTGCCTTTTCCCTACAATGTCTGGACAG